CGCTGATGTAGGCCGTAACCATCCTCAAGCGTTGGTCTATCCTCTCACTGTAGCTATGAAATCAGTCCAGAACGCCAGAAAATCAAAGTCTGCAGCCCTTATTATGGACAGCATGCGGCAGCACAGTGCCAAGCTTGTTGAGCAGGCAGATGTTGTCAGTCACGAACTCATTCGTGTTGCGGTGCTATGGCACGAACAGTGGTACGAGGGCATCGAGGAGGCATCTCGACTCTGGTTCAGTGATCACAACGCTGAGGGCATGTTCGCTACCCTAAACCCACTACATGAGCAGCTCGAAAGAGGTCCCGAGACACTGCGTGAAATCAGTTTCGCGCAGACATTCGGCCGAGATCTCACAGAAGCCCGGGAGTGGTGTCGCCAGTATGAACAGACTCACGATGTCACCGATATGAACGGTGCATGGGACTTGTACTACCAAGTGTTCCGGCGCATAGGCCGACAGCTTCCGCAAATGACGTCTCTCGAGCTTACGTACTGCTCGCCCAAGCTTCTCAGTGCTAGGGACCTAGACTTGGCTGTGCCTGGTACGTATCGCAGCGGAGCCCCAATTGTGCAGATTATCTCGTTCGAGACGACATTCAGCGTCATAAACTCGAAGCAGCGTCCTCGAAAACTCAATATGACTGGTAGCGACGGTAAACAATACGCGTTCCTGTTGAAGGGACATGAAGATATCCGTCAAGACGAGCGTGTGATGCAGCTTTTTGGCTTATGTAACACTCTGCTCGCAAACGATTCAGAATGCTACAAGAGGCATCTCGGGATTCAGCGATATCCAGCAATCCCACTCAGTCAAAATTCTGGTCTATTTGGATGGGTGCCGAATAGTGATACCCTTCATGTTCTCATCCGGGAATATCGTGAGAGTAGGAAGATACTGCTTAATATCGAACACCGCATTATGCTGCAGATGGCACCGGACTATGACAACCTAACCCTCATGCAGAAGGTTGAGGTCTTTGGCTACGCTTTGGATAACACAACTGGCCAGGACCTGTACCGCGTCCTCTGGCTCAAGAGCAAGAGCTCTGAAGCATGGTTGGAACGACGTACCAATTACACGCGCAGTCTTGGTGTCATGAGCATGGTTGGCTACATTCTCGGTTTAGGCGATCGTCATCCCAGTAATCTCATGCTCGACCGAATTACGGGCAAGATCATCCACATTGACTTCGGCGATTGCTTTGAGGTGGCCATGAAGCGCGACAAGTATCCCGAGCGGGTTCCCTTCCGCCTAACGCGTATGCTTACGTATGCGATGGAAGTGAGCAACATTGAGGGAAGTTTCCGTATCACGTGCGAGCATGTAATGCGGGTACTTCGCGAGAATAAAGAAAGTGTGATGGCCGTGCTTGAGGCTGTAAGTTCAGACCTCCAACGTCCTACTCACTGTTGTGTCAATATTAATAATCTGTTCGCGTATAGTTCATCCATGATCCCCTCCTGACCTGGCGTTTGACTAACCGCGCGTCGGTCTGTGGCCCCAACTTTCATTCTGAGCGTGAAGCCGCTCTCGGAGCAGGCACGCAGCGCATTCGTCGGGCTAGCATTTTGGAATCAGAGCATCCACCTTCCGAAATGCTCGCTGCACAGCTGGTGACCGAGTCTATGCATCAAAACATACCCCCGGCTGTGCGTGGTCGTGCACGCACCAACTCGAGCTTGATGAATGGTGTGACGCAGGATGGCGAGGCGGCTGAGATTCAGAATGCTCGCGCCCTTGAGGTGCTCGACCGAGTAAACCAGAAGTTAACCGGCCGTGACTTCAAACCGAATGAGGAATTAGAAGTTGTTCAACAGGTCAACAAGCTCATATTAGAGGCTACAAAGTTAGAGAACCTTTGCCAGCATTACATCGGTTGGTGCTCTTTCTGGTAGTCCGGGTTACTCCAACGAAACTACTCAACGCAAGTAGCAGTGTCTTCAGAGAAGTTTCAAGCAGACTGTTTCATGTTCAGATTACGAATAGGGTTTCAGGTAGAGTTCGGAGGGGCCATGGGGACAGGCTTGTGGTCGGCAAGGTTTTTTTTATAATTCTCTGATCTTGAAATGGCAGAGGCGTTCGTTTGGTGCTCGGGAGGGATTACGCAAACTTCGATATTCGCTTAGCTCTTAGATGGGGCTCCATGGATTTGCTTATTTTCATTGCTTTTCCATCGTATCATTGTCTGATGGAATGAATGATTTTAGACGAGAACAGCCTGATTAGCGAAGACTTAAGCATAGGTTATGAGCGTGTCTTGTTGTTCGCGGTATATGTGGAACTAGGTACCTAGCCTGCCGATAATTTTAAGACGTACGTCTATCTAAATCGTCACAAATTTCGCGTTTTACGTGCCGTCGGGATAGATTGCGATTAGTCTGGATTTCGCAGCGTGATCCCCTGTTTTGCAATCATGAAATTAAGAATGCTCGCTATATTGCTAGGAAAACGTGAAGCATTTCATCAGTCTCTGGTGAAAAGGCTCAACTGTGTTATCAGCTAGCCGAATTAATATCCCCCCCTCAACATACTGCCTGGAACTTCAAGTCTTGCCTTTGCATCGAGGGCACCATTCTATTTGTTCAGGGGGTGATACTGCAATCTGTTGCCGTCGTGAGACTACATAGACCGGTTCCTAGAGTCAATCTCCACGACGCGCCGAATCTTACTACTCTCGTTTCTATTCTCTCTCCCACCTAGATGTTTCTGGGAATGAAAGACGCGTATCCTAGAGGCGAATGAAAAAATGTAGTACCGGGTATATTCCTCGAGGCAGACGAGCTCAAGAAGGGGTCCCCAGAGACATCACTTCTTTTTGGGATAACACACATTCACCGGAGCTTGTGTTCGAACTAGAGCTGTCGTCTCGCAGTGCGGATGCTGACCTAAACCTGAAGCGATGCGAGCTCTGCCGTTTCGGAATTCCGCACGGGCTGTGCGGATAGTAAACATGGGAGTGGCCTTATATTGGGGAAAGTGATTTTACTTCGAGACAACTCGGAAATGTGGCTGTTCGAACACAACAGCCTCTCCCTGAGGTTATACTGTGACCACACGCAAGTGTTCGCACTAGATGGCAATCCACTCTCTCGGTGTAAATTCCGCCCACGTCCTCGGGGGTATGTTGTTTGCTCGTAGTGTACGCATTCGCCGAGACCTCGCCCGCTTGCTCCTCTTCCTGTGCACGGAAACCGCACCAACCCCCTTTGACCACCCGCTCGAGAAACGCGTGACTGTTCAACAAGTGATACGAACATGTCCCAACGCACTCAAGTAGTGTTGAACAATATCATGTGTTTGAATGTTTAACCATCTCCCATATCAATTTTGTGGACATTTACGGTATTGGAATAAGGGTTTTGAGCGTAGCGGTTTTCATAGCTTCCTGGCTATTATCGGGCTCGTGGTTTGGTGGTAGAATACTCCATTTTGCTATCTTATAATACTGCAATCAATATAGATGGAACAATTCTTGCTTCTTGAAATTTATTTTATAATGTGATTTAAGATTTTGGTAAGCAGAAGTGACGCTTACTCTGAAAACAAGATCATGCTGGGGATTTGGGCCTCAAAATGGACCAGCTCCTAATTCGAAAAATACCATTTTAAAAGCAAGGGTTGCTAAAGCTGCTACTTTAAATTCAACAATTTAATTATTCATAGGTCTCAAACCTTTTATACTTCCCATTATGTTATTTCTCTAGTGAACATAGCAATATTAGTCTTATTTAGTACTCCATGATTTGTCCTTCGCGTTTCCTATGTGCTGCTGTAGAATAATTCTAGGTAATTCTCAACTTATTAGGGCAGTCGCACGCGCTCGACGTGCATGTGGCTCACGAGGGGAGAGCCATATCGTTTTCTAGTATTAAACTTTATGCTATAGAATTACTATCCATATTTATCGACGGTTCTTTAGCCTGCAAGCTTGATAGAACCTAAGACCAATATGGCTGAGGATATATGCCGAGCCAGGAAAGTTTGCAGTGCCTTGACTTCCAGTTGCGATGAGGGACTGCGTCGTAATTACACTGTGACTTCGTGCATCTCTAGTAGAACCCGGGCCGTAGCCGATATAGCAACCCCGGAGCCCATGATGGTCACAAGGAGGCGAGTGTTGTTAGTGGCTATTTCTACGGCAAGAAAAATGCCTGGGTTTCTAGAACGATGTGCAGCCACTGTAGACTGCGGTATTATGAGCGGCAGCAACCCCGTTCTATGTACGCAGCACATGGAACCAAGCTCACATAATGCTACTCCCAATGCTAATAGTCCTACTATGCGATAGAACTGATTTACTAACCGGAGTCCCTCGGAGTATAAAATCTACTACATAGAACATCACAAAAGAAACATGTAGGCACAATACGGGCGAATGACTTGGCAAGACCAACTTCAACTACCCCATCTCGTGTAGCAAGCAGTACTGTAAGGCGGCTCGATTTCTAGCGCTCGACTACATAGCTATATGTTACTATCTGTAGCTCCGAAGTATAGCGCATAATTCCGAGTGGAGATAGGCTCCGTGTGCAATAAGAGCTTGAGATCTACGGCTTCAAGGGGGCCATAAAGGTCCAGTCCTCCCTTTCAGCCAGGCGGCGACCTAAGGTCTATATATGCGAAAGCTTCGCTTTCGCGCAGCCTGTTTCATTTAATCAGGCATACGCGGGTAGCTAAGCAGCAAGTTCAGCCGCTCATAGGATTATATACATGATATTGGAGTCCCAGTCCCTTGGGTCCGTGTGACACCGTGGTCAAGTTCCGGTGGCAGTTCACCATATAGCAATTGACGTACCTACAGCTAGAGTTTTTTCGAGTCTGCCGACTATCAGCCTCAGGCTTTTTATGTTACTCAAATGTGTTGGTTTTCAAAGGTTGTCTATCCGATTAGGGAGTTTCAAAGAATCTATAGCCTCAAAATCCCCACCATGACCCCTGTCCCATGACATAGTGACATTTACAAGCCTCCTCCAATAGGAACTACCCGTTCAAACAATCTCGATTGGTCTAGTGGTAAGGATACCTGCTTGTCATTCATTGATTCAAGAATCATAGAGCAAGTCGCAGGTGGCCGGGGTTCGATTCCCCGATCGAGAGTGTCTTTTTCTCATTATGTTTTTTCTTTGGTTTCTAGTCGACGGAATTTTGCAAGCGTTCTTCCTAACTTTTATTTTCAGGTGGCTGTCAGTTAGGCCTTAGACGCGCCGCAGTGCCGTGAATGAGGTTTTTTGCAAGTAGATGTTGGGTGGGGGGATTACCCTTACAGCGAATGGATATTTTCTAATATGATAATGCCAGTCACTACTACCTACACCACTTCGATCACGACTCTTGCTCTTTATGTTATGTGGCATATTTATGTACACCTGATGATGTCGTTTCTTAAATTGCGTTATCAGTGGTTCTATCTACCTATGTTTGTTTCTCCGTAGACCTATGATCTCTGTTTTAATTCTTTTTTAGCATAGTAATTAACATCAACTACGTGAGTTGCTTTTAGATAGAGGTGTGAGAGCGATCTAGGCTTGTGTCATTTGTTCCGGCGTGCTGGTATGGGGTGCAAGTCCGCCACGGAATCAGAACTACAGCACTAGACCATAACACTAATTACTATGAAAGTAGAACGTTACTGGGAGGCCTTGATGCCTGCAGTTACTCATATGCTCACGGTTGAGATCGTGACAAGTTTCTCTAGCCAGCATGAACTACCGGGTTGATTCAGGGTAGCTGTGCGTAAAGAAGAACTGGGTAGAAACTATTGTGACTTTTGAGAGACTGACCTTGAAAGTCGAGACATCTTTATCAACAGTACTACTGATTAATAACTGCCGTATCGACCTGGACGGGTATGGTCTATGAGTTGGCGCTAATGAACCGAAGGAAGTGGCACTGTGTCTACAGAAGCTTATCCTACGATGAGAAACCCGAGATTTTATACCTGTGGGTGTAAAACGGCAGCCCTATAGCTCGCATTATCGGCGTGAGCCCTCTGGAGTATGCTAACGCGATCTATATGTATTACAAAGCTAGCTTGACACTGACGGAGCCCAATAGCTCCTTGCGAGCCTCCCCTCCCCTCGCGCCAACCGCGACCGCAGTCCGATTCCCTTGGTCCACGGTCCATTTTATCGGCCCATCCGGCAGTTTCTCAACACCCAATAAGTCTTTCAAGCCGTCAACACGCGGCACCAATCCACCCTCGGCCTTTGACTGTCCACCATATCGCTCTGGTATGCACTCGATATCCATCATTTCCAAGAGTGTAGTCATGACATCCGCGGGAGGCACTATCACCAGTTTCGTCGCCGTGTTCGGATCAATCCAGCCCTTTATGAAAGCCCAAATCTTGGAGAAATACGGCGGCGCATTAACCACGTATATCTTATCTACGACCTCTGGATAGCACGTCGCTAATAGCCCCGTGACGCTCTGCGCATACCCCCGTATGCTCCACGCCTGTTTGAGGCTTATGTAGGTTATGTCGACGAGATAGACCGCTCTGGAAACGGGCTGGTCCGAATCTGGCCGGTCCGCCATCGCGGAGCAGAGAGGCAGCACGAACCGCGTTAGGTAGTCGAGAGATGTGATTGCGCGGCACGTAACTTGAGACAGGGTGTAATTATGATACTTTGCAAAGTTTGGTCCGTCCACTGCGAAAAACTGTTGTTAATAATCACCATATCTGGGCGTAATCTGTGAACATTAAGGCGAGCGGGAACATCTTCGAACAAGATGCTAGAGTTGGCAGGCCATTGACACTCTTAGGTGTTGCCAGAACATGCGGGATAACCCCTAAAGCTGCTTACAGTTGGCCGCGTCAAGAATGCATATTGGGAGGCCGTCTTTGGTTCGATGGCCTGACCAATGGGGATACTAGTAGTTCAGGTTGTCAGTTGTCTTTAATTGAAGGTGGTTGGGGGTTTAAAACGACCAGAGTTAGTAGACAAGGGAACTATGATCACACACAATGCTACGTAAGTGCTCGAAGTCGTCGATATCGATGGTATTATAAGCTTCGGTCGTATTTACGGAGCATCGGATCGCTTGGGCTTCTTTAAACTGTTGGAGCGCTCCGGGCACGTCGAACGCGCGAGCGCAAAGGAATCTCCTTGGGGGGGGGGGGGGAAATTAGTGTTTGGCCATGGTACAATGATATGATATAGTAAGGCTCCCGTACAGTAGGGTGACCTCATCGTTCAAACCATCCAGAGTATCCTCGGCTGACAAGCCGGTAGGACGCTGGAGGAGCCCGTTCTCGCGACATTGTTCAATGAACGACTGAAAGCGATTCTGCTCGTCAGCCGTGAGCTCGGTGGTGGAGCCGTCAACCCCCCCTCCGTTCTTCATTCCGCTTGCTGCTCTCGGCTGTCCGATGGTGGAGCCGTTTAGCTGTCCGTTCTCCATAACCCTCGGACTCGCTTCCCCGGTATTCTGCCCGGTAGTTGTTCTTGACATCGTACGATAATGGGATCGATGAAATTACAAAAGATATAGTCAAGCCAACCAATGGAATCTGCTTACTAGCTGATAGAGGCCGGGGATGTGGCCCGCGCGGTGAGGTTTAGTACCGGAAAGGAACTCAGTAGGAACGCTCTCGCGAACAACGGCGAAAACATGAGAGCTGATGGATCTACGAGTTGGGCTTGCATTTATAGCGCTTGGCGTCTTTGGCGCTGTCTTTATGGGTCCATTGGCTTTGTCTCTAGCCTTGCCTCAACAATACTTGTCGTACGTGCAGAGACGCCGCGTCGTATTCGCGAATGTGGAATTCCAATATCCATCTGTGTAACTTGCCCTATCTAGTAATTTGCTTTACTATCCCTTTGAATGACCTCTCGGCTCCGTGACTTTTCGTAAGCACTAACAAGGGTGAAAATGACCAATAAAAATATGTATTCTGATAGGTACTTCCGCTTCTACCTAATTTTGCCTGTGCTAGATGTTCTAACAAGAACCAGAGTTCATTTCTGCCGGGCCGTTGATATAAGCCGCCTGTATAGGCCTACAATAAGCCCGCAGGCCGCCCCCGTTTCCCACTCGCCACCGCTTTGTGCCCGTCCGCTTCGCTTCCGGTCGCTCGCTCCCGGGTATGGGAGGGCCTCCGAACTCAAAGTATGGCCCGCCGTGACTAGATATGTGACTAGCCAAGTGGCTTCAACGCCCTTATTAAAAGCTGGCCGGAGGTCTAGGTGCAGCCAATCCACGGGGTAGAAATCATCAAAGTACATGATTGGCCTATCGCAGAAAAACCTAACCTCTTTCGTTTCCCTCTGATCTTTGTTTCCCTAGAACCCTTCGAGAAATAGTCCAAACTTAACGTTAGCTTTCCTGTTGCTACGTATTCTTTGAATACTCCGTAAGCAGAAAACCTCCGGCCAAAGTTTGAGCAATACTGTGGACAATCAATCACGGATATTTCCGAAAGTGCAAACATAGGCGTTGTTAGATATAGGAAAAGAAAATGGCGCAGCTGAAGGGCATTTCCTAATTGCGACAGGCACATGCATCAAACCTGCGCCTCTTGCTGCCTACCTGAATGTTGCAGTACAGGAAACAGAGTGCCGTCGGATGCGTGCCGCCCGGCAGCTATACCGTAATTGGAAAGATGCGTTGGCCGATCTTTCCTCCATCCGTCTAGACCGAGAGTTGTTGGAGTCGCGCCCGTATCCAAGCACCGTAAGCAGCAAACAGGTCAACATGCTTCCAAGTCTCACAGAACTCAGCGGTAGCTCTATATCTCCCTTTTATGTATTCCTCTTTGCCGGTTTGATCTCGTGCTTGGAGTTCGCAAGCGATGGCATAAGCCACCTTTTCCAAGCACACAGGGCAGAGGTATGGTGGTTGTCTCACATCTTCTGCCATGCCGGATGTACCTTGCATGTTGCAAGCGTAATAGATACAATGATCAATCCCAAAACAGTGCCCGAGTTCATGAACTAATGTGCGGGCAATGCGTGAGAACCATAAGCCGCTCTGACCTTCAATAGTTGACGACGTATAGACTTTCCGGGTTGCTTCGATAGCCTGTTGTAGTGGTGAGTCCGAGGTCTCGTGTGCTGATTTTACATGCTCTTCTGGCTCGAGTCCTTCTACGGCGCATAGGCTATCGGCGAACTTCTTGCAGTGCGAAGTTGGCCACATGTGATTATAGTCAATGTTCTCGTAGGCATCGAGGGCTGGATGGTACCGAGCTGTAGACACGACGCATACTCGACTACCCCCATATGCTCGTCCGCAGCAGAAATCATCGTCGTCATCCTCGAACATATCAAAGTTCATGAGCAACACTATTGCATACGCATCGTCGGGTAGCATCTCAATAGCCGCATCAAGAATATCGTTTAAGTTCAACTGCCTCTTAAACTTCTTGTCAGGAGCTTCCCGGGTGCGGATGCGAGTACACAAGTCATTGCGTGCAAGCCCAACATAGTCATAGTTTTTTCTTGACCCAGTGCGCTGCGAGAGCCCCGTCCATGGCACAAAGCGCAACTGTTCTGGCAAGAACTTGACGGGAAGGCCATGGTAGAATGCACTGAGGTATCGTAAGGACGCGTCGGCTGATGGCGGATCGAGACTGTCAAGCTTATTTGGGGTTGTTGTTGTGGGCTGCGCCCAACTATCCATGAAGCTCACACCTGGCGCGACGATTGGTGGTGCAGCAACATAAAGAGTCCTACGTTCTGGCGTGATCTTGTTCCGCTCAATCTCAATGAGCCAGGATCGAAACGACTGGGGTGGGCAGTCGGGATCCCAATTAAGCTCACTACAACACCGGGGTCAGTTATCGCCATCTGGAGCGTGTTTTGTAAGAGTTGCAGAAGCTTCTAAACACTATCTCGGCGTAAAAATGTAATCTCGTGCTCTGAAAGTTGCCAAAACAAGAAGAAAATGGTTCCGAGAATTCCTTACTCTTTCGGCAGCAGAAGGGGGCCGGGGAAAGAGGGCGAGAGTTGTTCCGCCGCGTCCTGGCTCAGCTTCTTGACTGTCTTCGCTGGCTTTCCTTTCACTGAAAGAGGATTACGACCGGTTTTTGTTGTCGCGGCAAGCCTTTTTGCAGCATCGGGTCGCTCAAATCCAGCTTCCACCGCCCATGGTGA